GGGGACATAAACCACTAGGCACACATCCCCCACATGGTCAACTATAGCAATAGCATTATGCTAATCGAGGGACATTTCTCTTGTGCTGTATTTGTTCCGCGTTTTTTTTTTTTTTTTTTTTTTTCTGCTGACGAGGTCGAAACAGGGAACACTAAAGATTTCTTAAGTTCATTATAGGTGTATTCGTGGGGAAACCTATCCCTCAACTGTTTTGTTATGTGGCGATCCGAATGAGGGGTGAGCCTCACAGCAGATCAGTTCGGATTAGTTAGTCTTTTTTTTTTTTTTTTCTTTTTTTCTGTCGTTTCGATTAGAGGCATACCTTACGTGTCTCACATTATGTAACTACCTCTGCAGTGTGCAAGGAACTCTCTCTTTGGTGTAACGTACCCACTTCATCAGATTAGTCCCTTTCGATCTAAGTGTGCATTCGAAAGAGGGATACTTTCTTCTGTGTCCCCAGTGCAACATCGTCTCGAGGGTAGAACATGTGCCACGGCTGTGTCTTCTTTTTGTTTTTTTTTTTCGTCCCTTTTACATAGTGCTGATATGTGCTATATGGTGAGCACCCCCCGAAGTGGTGCATACCGCTAGGTATACTAGACAACGAGATATCGTAAGGTAACCACGCTATACATATAATACCCCGCCTGGCGAACGGGGAATCATGAGAACAAGGTGCCTGGAGAAGCAAATCGAGACGTTGAAAAAGTGCGAGCTATTATCAGAAACGGAAGTGAAACATTTGTGTGGCCAAGCTAAACTTATTCTCATTAAGCAGGAAAATATAAGGCATGTCAATCTGCCAGTGGTGGTTTGTGGGGACATACATGGACAATTCCATGATCTGAAGGAGCTCTTTCACATAGGGAATGAGCCACCAGAAGTGAATTACATCTTCCTTGGTGATTACGTAGACCGAGGTAAGTACAGCGTGGAGACATTCCTGTTGCTACTAGCCCTGAAGATAAAATATCCAGATGAAATTACCCTCCTAAGGGGAAATCATGAAAGCAGACAGATTACCGAAGTGTACGGATTTTATGATGAGTGCATTAAGAAATATGGGTCGATAAATGTATGGAAATACTGTACCGACTTGATGGATTATCTCTCTATCGGTGCAATCATTGAAAAGAACTACTTCTGTATCCATGGGGGGTTATCTCCTTCCTTTAACCAAATTGCTGATCTAAACAAAATTAATCGATTTCAGGAAATACCGAGGAATGGCTCCCTATGTGATATTATGTGGTCAGACCCAAATGATAAAAACGGATGGGATAAGAGTCCAAGAGGTGCAGGCCATTTATTTGGCCCAGACATTGTTCATAAGTTTTGTCACCTCAATGATATTCAAGTCATTGCCAGGGCTCACCAGCTCGTCATGGAGGGGTACAAATGGTGGTTTGATAAAAAACTCGTCACCGTCTGGTCCGCGCCCAACTACTGCTACCGCTGTGGCAACATCGCCAGTATAATGGAGATCGACGAGAACGAGACCTTCGATTTTAAGTGCTTCGGCCCGTCGGCGGCTGAGAGCAGCGCTAGCCACTTGGTGAAGAAGTACCCCCCGATATACTTTTCCTGACGGGGAGAAGGACTACAGATCGGAGTTACGTAACGGTGGCGGCTTCGGGAGTTACCTTCACGCACATTAGCGGATATTTGCACACATTCACCCCAACGAGCTGCCGGCTGCGAGCCCTGGTCAGCTATACACCCGTAGCTCTTGCAGCACTTGTAGCACTTGAACCACCTGTAGCACCTCTAGTATCTACACTGTCCACACCGTGTTCAGCCCAACTGGCGTGGGGATACCCACCAGGTAATCATAAAACCCTTTTGGTATGTTTTGTCACTTGTACGTGTGAACTTTTTTTT